ACCTTACCTCTGGCTACTACAATGTGGAAGTGCATGAGGATGACCGGAGATTCACAGCTTTTACGTCGCTATTTGGATTGTACGAATACAATCGTATGCCACAGGGGTTATGTAATAGTCCTGCAACCTTTTATGAGGATGATGCTAAACATCTTTGGGGATCAGAACTTTCTTAGCCTGCTGTGTTACCTTGACGATGCCTTGGTCTATGCACCCACTGAAGATCTGGCTATACAGCGCCTGGAAATGGTTTTTGAACGTCTCAAGGCTCACAACCTGAAGTTGGCGCCTAAAAAGTGTAACTTTCTGCAGAGGTCTGTGAAGTTTCTGGGGCATGTCATTAGTGCAGATGGTGTAGCTACAGACCCTGAGAAGGTGAGGGCCATTACAGGAGTAACAGAAGCTGATCTGATGGAAGATGGCACTGACATTCCATCTCAGAAGAAATTGAGGTCATTCCTTGGGATGGTGGTGTATTATCAACAATTCATTGAAGGTTGCTCCACCATCGCAAAGCCTCTCTTTGGATTGACTACTGGACACAAGACTCCATGCTGGAAAAAGAAGCGACACTCACCTGTCAGGACGTTGACAGCTGCCGACTGGACAACAGAATGCAGACAGGCCTTATTCCAGCTAAAGCAAGCCTTACTGGACCAGGTTTTGTTGGCCCACCTCAACTTCGACAAACCCTTTCTACTCTCGGTGGATGCGTCCAGCAATGGCTTAGGTGCTGTGCTGTCCCAGGTGCAGGAACAGGGAGCTACAGCGAGACCTATAGCCTTCGCGAGCAAGTCCCTCAGTTATGCGCAGTCGAGGTATCCTGCGCACCGGCTCGAGTTCTTTGCCATGAAATGGGCTATCTGTGACAAATTCCACCACTGGCTACAGGGGACAGCAGTTCACAGTATGGATGGATAATAATCCCTTGACATACATTCTGACCAAAGCAAAGCTTGATGCTTGTGAACAGAGATGGGTCGCCAAGCTGGCACCGTACGAGTTTGACATCAAGTACATCCCTGGAAAAATAAATGTTGTTGCAGATGCTTTGAGCAGAGAGCCCTTCGTACGACCCAGTGCACTCCATCGCTTGACAAGGGTCCCGTACGAGACCTTACTAGCTGAAGCTAACGCTGTGCGCACAGAAAGAGTGCAAGATGTGTTTCGCTGGTCCAGCCACCCCTTTGACAAAGCCTCTGACTCCAACGAAGTGGCCATTAACTGTCAGGCTACTGTTGACCCCCCATCTGGTGCTTTATCAAGACATGAAGTTGCAGCTGTTCTTCATTCACACAGGTGCTGGGTGGGTGAAGTGGGCTCACATGCGCTACTGTTGCCACAGCTTCCACAGGCTGTTATGTCATCAGAGCAGACCGATGTCGATGTTCTGCCACACAACCTACTGATGAGTAAGCAGCGTGATGACAACGTGATCAGCAGAGTGATATTCTTTGTGGAGAGGGGGAGAAGACCATCCCGGAGAGAGCGTGCCCATGAGAGTGTTGAGGTTTTGTGTCTTCTCAGAAGTTGGGACAAGTTGACCATGAAGATGGGTGTACTGTATCGTGTTTCGAAGAATGTGGTTACAAAGAGGAAGATGTATCTGTATGTGGTTCCAGCCTCCATGAAAGCAATGGTGTTGAAGGGTGTCCATGATGAAGCTGGCCACCAGGGCCAACAGAGAACAGTCTACCTGACAAGACAGAGGTTCTTCTGGCATGGCCTGGAGAGGGAGGTAAACACATATGTGAAGTGCTGCAGGAGATGCGTCGTGAGCAAGACTCCTGATCCGGAAGCAAGAGCTCCTCTGAGAGCATAATAACAACTGAGCCTCTTGAACTAGTGTGCATAGACTTTTGGTCTGCAGAAGATTCTTCAAACAAGTCCTTGGATGTGCTCGTTGTTACTGACCACTTTACCAAATTGGCTCATGCCTTCTTGTGCCCGAACCAGTCTGCTAAGTCAATAGCTCATCAGTTGTGGAACAACTATTTCTGTGTCTACGGGATGCCTCGCCGTATACACTCAGACCAGGGAGCCAACTTTGAGAGCGCTTTAATAGCTGAACTGTTGAGTGTTGCAGGTGTTCAGAAGTCTCACACCACGCCGTACCATCCGATGTGGAACGGGCCCTGTGAAAGGATGAATAGGACGTTGGGAAACATGATCCAGGCCCTGCCAACGAGAGCAAAGCACAGATGGCCTCAGGCGCTGAAGTCCCTCACGTTTGCGTACAATTGTACCATCCACGAGACCACAGGCTTTGCCCCTTTCCTGCTAATGTTTGGGAGGACGCCAAGACTGCCTGTTGACATAGTCTTTGGCTCTGTCATAGAGAACCCAGAAGTTGTCGACTTTGATCAATTCATTCAGTCTTTGAGGAGAGATCTGAAAGAAGCCATGAATACAGCACAGGCATCTGCAGCGAAGCAGTTGAAGAGGCACGCTGACCTTTATGACAGAAGAGTCAGAGGAGCACCAGTGGAGATTGGGGATCGAGTGTTGCTGGCTAACAAGGGGAAGCGAGGAAAGCGGAAGCTCGCTGACCGTTGGGAGGATACTGTCTACCTTGTCACTGGATTGAATGCTGACAGTCACACTTTTAAGATTCAGAACAGCTCCACCGGACAGGAGAAGACGGTACATCGCAACCTGATAATGCCAGTCAACTTTCTTCCTCTTCCCCATGCTGCCGTTGATGAGGGAACAGACATGTCTGGATTAACAGAGTCTGAGGACATGAATGACAGCTTTGTGGTCTCAGCTGCCATGGACACTGCAGTGGATGATGATGCTGAGTACAGAACAAGAGTGTGGGTGTCAGAGTTGCCTTCTGAAGGAATAGGTGACACAAGCCTGGAGGGTGATGTGCGATCCTTGGAAGCTCAGGATATTCCACCTTTGGATTCTGTGGAAGATATACTGCAGCTGGAAGGTCTGCCTCCATCAGAGAGTCTTCAAGAATCTGACCGAGACCGTAACAGTGTAGTGAGTGAGATAATTGACCAGTCTGCTTACGATATCCGTACTGACCTACCAAACTCGGACCATTCCTTACCTGATCAGTTACGCACTGACTGTGTTGACAGACCCACTATTGCAACAGTACACAACACTGTTACCCCTTATGCAGTTGAAGGTACTCGGGGTCGTATTAGGTCAAGGGCAGGAAGAATATTTAAACCAGTGTCTAGACTGATTGAGATTATGAATCAGCAGAAAGTTAGCTCTTGAAGGTTAGTATGTGAATGGTATTGACAAATTTTATTTTATTTGTTTTTACATCATTGTGACCATGATTAGAGGTTGCAGGATGGTAATGTGATGGATATGATAAAGTAAGTCTCTTATGGTTGTTTATTTTATTACTTGGATGTTTTAAAGTCACTGAGTGTCCTTAACATGTAACAGGCATGTTTACCTATGAGGGCTAAGGGGATTGATCAACTGCTTTTCACTCTAATTCTCAAGGAGAATAGTCTAATGACTGGAATATTTAGTGACTGTTTTAAAGCAGGGTCTGCATCCTTGATATACACAGCTTTACCTTTTAGTTTTCTATATTAGGTAGTATAAAATATATCTATAATTTTTTTTTTCTCTCTCTGAATTATTCTGTACATATGTTGAGTGTTTCTGTACCTGGTATGTTTGCACAGTGCCGTTTAGTATTTTAAATATATTTATTTGCAAGTGGAATTCAGTAGGGGGGAGTGTAACAGGGTTATATTGGTGATTCCCCTTGCCACTTTATTGTTAAGCCAATGGGTTTTTGGTTTTGTCTTGCATTCACCTACTCAACATGGCATCTTATTGACTGGTTGGCGTAGCTTGCTTACGAGGGAGGATGTTTCAGTTAGAATCGTCCCAGTGAACAAGCACCAAACCAGCGGTAAGTTGTTGGTTGCAAAGCACTGTACGTCAAAAGTGATTTTTATACTCCCAAGTGATGAAATGTATAATTTATATCAATTTGTTTGTAAATGTTATTCGAACATCACACATAAGATGCAGTATTTTTTGGTGAATATTTGTTGTGCATTTTGTTGTAGAGAATTCCAGCTAATACTAGCTAGCAACTTACTGTGTCTGGTGGGGGGTTTGTATATTTTGTACAGTGCGTGAGTGCAGAGTTGGATGGTGAGCCGTGCATTGCATGACGTGCAATTTTGTGCTGTTCCTATCAGGTACATTGTTAAAGATATTATATTGTAATTGTATTGTTTTGGTAACTACATGCCCCAGTGAACAAGCACCAAACCAGCGTGCATGAGTGCAGAGTTGGATGGTGAGCCATGCATTGCATGATGTGCAATTTTGTGCTGTTCCTATCAGAATAAAGCTCCATGACTAGTGTTACAAGATGGAGTTCGTGTTGATGATTGATTGTACACAACGCAAGAAGGGTACTGTTACATACACACATGACAATATATGCACAATACACACGTACACATGGATTTTGTGTTGTAGATATGTGGTAGTGGAGTAGGGGCCTGAGGGCACTGCCTTGGCAGCAGCTAATGGGGATCCATAATAAATACAAATGCAAACACACACACACACACACACAGAAATCAGAAACATTGACAGCCACATCATATTTAGCTTACCTTGATTGGACTTAATCGTTTTTGGTATCTTTTAGTTGTCATTTTATTATACTAAGCAGAGGTGATTTGATGATGTTGAAATGGTGCTGGAATAGTGGAGGCAGCTCCTGTTTTCTTTGCGATTTGCCGCAAGTCTGTGGTTCTAAATCAATAGATGTTTAGTGGTCCGAAAATGTCGGAAACATTAACTTGCTTGACCATGCTGTAGGTCTGTTACTGTACATGCAATATGCTTTCTTGACTTCACTGGACAGAGGTTGCTATCCGGTTTTGTGATAAAACAAAGGTGTGAAGGCTGTGAAGTATTTGTAGTTAATCATATCAGTAATGTTAGTTCATCATATCAGAGCTGTAGCTTCGCCCACCGGTGAAGTGGAGCAGAGCATGCTGGGCGATCTCCAGCTCGGAGAAGAAGATCAGTTTAAGGGAAGTCAAGTGAGAGAAAGTTCCAGCCATCCTTGTGTTTTCCCACCAGGTAGCTTTCATTGTGTTAGCCAATGCCAGTGTGCGTCCTTGTTGAAATGTAAGTACATGTTTCATATCACTACAGAAATCACTGAGCTAGGCTGAAATGCCTGAATTTTGGACCTGCCTTACTCAAGAAACAAAAATGAAACCAAGTTTGTATGCAGCTTTATTAACTCAATGATTATAAAAAAAATGGGATTGTATGCAAACTGATATGTGACACGTATTAATGCCAAAATAACATGCAAAACAGGTGGGGCTCTGCCTCTCTGGCTCTCTTCGATCTCTCCCCCACTTATCCAAAGGAATAGCAAGGCCACAATAATTTCACCTCCATGTCATGCATCCCAGGACTGTCAGCAGTGCTCCATATCAACCTTGGATCTGAGGCATCCCTATACTGGTTCCCTAACTATAACCCTATGGTTCTTCTCTACTCAGCTCAGTAAGAAGTATGGCTCAGTGTTTACTGTATGGCTGGGACCCAAACCTGTGGTGGTGATCTCAGGCTATCAGGCTATCAAGGATGCTTTTGTCAACCATGGAGAAGAGTTCAGTGGCAGCGCCAACTACCCTGTGATCATGACAGGCTCTAAAGGATATGGTGGGTGACTTTTAAATGGAAGTGGGTGGGTGTCATTGACCTTGCCACAGTCAGTCTGTGTGGAAATTGACAATTTAGCAGATAACCTAATGTAACATACGTTTTGTTATGCTCTTCTAATTCTACATCTTTGTGCTTCTGTCCTACTCTTTACTGTAGGAGTGTTGGTGAGCAATGGGAAGAGATCAAAAGATCTTCGCAGATTCTCGCTGATGACCCCGAAAAACTTTTTGATGGGGCGCAGGAGCATCGAAGAACGTGTCCAAGAAGAGGCTAAGATGCTAGTGAAAGCCTTCAGTGAATATGGAGGTAGATTGTTTTCTTAGTATTTTTCTTGCTTTTGAAATATGGGCAATATCCTCGGGCGGAGCATGTGGGGCCTCAAGCGTATAAATTATTTAATTACTATTTATTTTATTATGCCCAGCTCACGAGCGAGGCCCCTTGATGATGTGAGCCCTGAGGCAAATTGTCTCTTCTGCCTAATGATAAGTCCGCCACTGGTAAAACCTCCCCAGTACAAAACCAGACAGAGCACTTTCCTTCCAGGACCCTAGGGATAAATAACAAGGGAGTTTAACGTTTGTTCTGTAATCAGTGTAACTGAGAACTGGGGCAGGGTGAATGTTATAACCTAGTGTTTAATTCAAACATAGTTGTTGCTTCTCACAGCTATTTCTAAAAGTTGCACAATATTATACTGTATATGGATAACCAATCAGGTATTTAAAGGTATTTGTGTGCTTGCCTTCCTTCTCTAATCTAGATTCAGTTGTCAATCCCAAAGAATTGCTTTGCAATTGTGTTGGCAATGTGATCTGCTCCATAGTCTTTGGGCACAGGTTTGAAAATGACGACCCAACATTTCAGCTCATCTAAAAGGCTGTTGATGCCTACTTTAATATCCTCAACATCCCTATAGGTGCGGTACAGTAACTTTCCGGTTATCTCTTTTCATAGAATCTTCCATTGCTCTCAATGCCCTAACTTGTGCTAAATTGAAGCTCTATCACACTAATTGCACAAAATGGCCTTGGGCTGACCAATCCATTGTTTTCACTAACAAAAAACCCTCCCCTTCCTCCCCTTTCTTTCAGATGTACAACATGTTCCCTAGAATCGTTTGGTGCTTTCCAGGCAAACCCCATGAGAAAACAAGGCATGATCCTCACATTGGAGGTTGAACCTTTTACACATTCTGAAAATATGGAATGTGGCAGGAATTAAGATACCATCCATGTCCACTCATGTGAGTTTGGCTATCAGAATGAATAGACAAGTGAGAGGCCCATCTCTGGTTTTCCAATGTATTTAGTGGCAATAAGAATGTGGAGATGGCATCAACTAGCTACCAGATGTCGCTGTTTACTTGAATAACTGAAGGTGACTTATTCTCTTCTCTTAGGAGAAACACTGAGTTCAACTGTGAGAACATGGTGATGACTGCATGGAACCTGTTTGCTGCTGGAACAGAAACATCATCCACCCTAAAACACTCATTTTTGATGATGATAAAGTACCCTCACATTCAAGGTTCCCTGTCTACCCAACTCTTTATCGATTGCATCCAAGTATCCTAGACCTATTTGATAACATTGTAGTCCCAAAAATAATAAATAGTTTGAAATGTGTTATTACGATGTAGTTACATGTAATAACTCCAACAACAATCCGTATATGGTATCAGTGCAACGTAATGTAAAGTGTGACCGAAGTCTTCATAAGGGAGTGTTCAGAAGGAGATAGACGAGGTGATTGGCTCAAGAGTGCTCACGATTGACGACAGAGTTAAAATGCCCTACACGGACGCTGTCATTCACGGAGTCCAGAGATACATGGACTTCACTCCCACCTCGGTCCCCCACGAAGTGATCAGAGATACAGAGTTCCACAACTACCTCATTCCAGAGGTGACCACAATTCTGTAACTTTAGGAACACTGAATGTTACATTTCACCATATTTTGTTTGACGTGGTGGAAGTGTTGTTCAAAAAATATGATTTACATTTTACTAATCAACATGCAGTTTTCATAGCAAGTGAAGGGTGTTATTTTGACATTCTTTCAGGGTACCATGGTCCTGCCTCTGCTGTCCTCTGTGCTTGCTGATCCCAGACTGTTCAAGAACCCAGATGAGTTTGACCCAGAGAACTTCCTGGATGAAAATGGACGCTTCAAGAAAAATGATGGATTCTTCGCTTTTGGGGTGGGTAAGATTATGCTCCAAGTAGTTTGTGGATTATGTGTTCCTGTATCTCTATCCACAAAAAAAACATGAAAAGATATGAGAGGATTGGGACTGCCCTAGCCTGGTGGAACCAGCCTGATCCACCAGCCTAGGATTTCCGCACTCATTTAAAAAACGAAACAAGAAACCTGAGAACCTCTGGTCAACTTCAATTAAACAATTGAAGTTCTAGGCTGACTGACAATGACCTCTCCCCTCTCCCTTCTCTTGTCCCCAGGGAAGCGGGTGTGTCTGGGAGAGGCTCTGGCCAGATTAGAGCTCTTTCTCCTCTTTACCTCCCTCCTGCAGCGCTTCACTTTCACCGGCACCAGACCTCCAGAGGAGATCAACATCGACCCAGCGTGCTACAGCTTTGGCCGCATGCCGCCTTCCTATGATTGCTACATCAAACTGAGGAGTGACCACTTTACTGTGGAGCAGTCACAGGCTGAGCTTCACAGGCAGCTGCTTGTCATTATGCATTAACCATAGCCTTACATTTACCACCTTTTGAAAGGGGTTAGTGAGTTGTTGTATCTTGCTATTATCCTCAGGTAGGATCTCTAAGGTATGGGTTGATATTTCAAGGCTAATTTCAGTCCACATGAATGTCTTTTTAAAGCTTGTTTTTGGTCAGGTTTCAAGAATTCCCATCAGAGATGTTGGTTACCATATCTCTAGACTTTTGATCACACTCCCCTGCTTTGTACCCATTTCAGCACAGGCCTATAGGTTAATATTAAGTTCTCTATTGAAATGTTATGGTGAGAGGACCAACAGTTTCTGGTGGTAAAATGTAAGCAACTGAAATGTGTATTTTTTTTGTAGGTTACTGTGTGGTTAGGACTGTACATCTATACCAGCAAAGCACTTAGGGGTACTGTACACTATGTATACTGTGGGGGTCACAATGTTATTCTGCCTTTGTATTCAACGTGACTGGTGTATCGTAACAAAACGTTTGGTTGTAACATATAATATGTTTCACAGAAACAGAATGCTGTTACTGGAATGTTCGTGGTTACCAGAAAAATTAATCAATTAACTCATGAAAATAGTATTGTGATTGTACAACACATTTTACATATGCTTTTGACACAATGGCTCTGATTGGTACAACTGATATTTTTGAGTTTGTTTGCAAACTTAATAAACCTAAAAGTATTTTCCCCCTTTCTAATTGTCTCTACTTCTACATATTTTTGATACTGAAAGTTCTCAGATCTTCAACCAAAATCTAATATTAGATAAAGGGAACAAATAACAGAACAATTACATACTTCATTTATTTCATAAACAAAGTTATGCAACACCCAATGCCCCTGTGTGAAAAAGTAATTGCTCCCTTACACTCAATATGTCACGATCGTCGTAGTAAGGAGTAGACCAAGGCGCAGCGTGAGAAACAAACATGACTTTATTTAGTTAAAGTTTCTAAATATAAACAAAACACGACTCGTGAAGTCCACGGTGACACTGACCGAACACGGAACAAAAACCCACAAACCCAAAGTGAAACACAGACAGTTAAATATGGCTCCCAATCAGAGACAACCAGCAAACAGCTGACACTCGTTGCCTCTGATTGGGAGTCACTCAGTCCAACCTAGAAATAAACACAACAGAACTACCAACATAGAAATAATCACATAGAATGAACACACCCTGGCTCAACATAATGAGTCCCAGAGCCAGGGTGTGACACAATAACTGGTTGTGCCACCTATAGCTGCAATGACTGCAACCAAATGTATCCTGTAGTTGTTGATCAGTCTCTCACATCGCTGTGGAGGAATTTTGTCCCACTCTTGCATGCAGAACTGCTTTAACTCCGCGACAGTTGTGGGTTTTCAAGCATGATCTGCTCGTTTCAAGTCCTGCCACAACAGCTCAATTGGGATTAGGTCTGGACATTGACTAGGCCATTCCAAAACTTCAAATTTGTTGCCTTTTAACCATTTTCATGTACACTTGATTGTGTGTTATAAAACATTGTCTTGCTGCATGAATCAGCTTCAGCTCACAGACGGATGGCCTGACATTCTCCTGTAGAATTCTCTGATACAGAGCAGAATTCATGGTTCCTTCTATTAAGGCAAGTCGTCCAGGTCATGAGGCAGCAAAGCATCCCCAAACCATCACACTACCACCACCATGCTTGACCGTTGGTATAAAGTTCTTGCTGTGGAATGCAGTGTTTGGTTTTCGCCAGGCATAATGGTACTGTGAGCTGAAGCGCAGCTGGGTCATGCAGCAAGACAATGATCCAAAACACATAATCAAGTCTACGTGAAAATTGTTAAAAAGCTATAAATGTGAGGTTTTGGAATGGCCTAGTCAAAGTCCGGACCTAATCCCAATTGAGATGTTGTGGCAGGATTTGAAACGAGCAGTTCATGCTTGAAAACCCACATATGTCACTGAGTTAAAGCAGTTCTGCATGCAAGAGTGGGTCAAAATTCCTCCACAGCGATGTGAGAGACTGATCAACAACTACAGGAAACATTTGGTTGCAGTCATTGCAGCTAAAGGTGGCACAACCAGTTATTGAGTGCAATGGGGGCAATTACTTTTTCACACAGGGGAATTGGGTGTTGGATAACTTTGTTAATTAAATAAATAGAATAAGTATACAATTTGTTTGTTATTTGTAAATTCAGGGTCCCTTTATCTAATATTAGGTTTTGGTTGAAGATTTGATAACATTCAGTGAAAAAATATATGCAAAAATAGAGAAACCAGAAACAGACAACCTAGACCATAGTGCCCTCCAAGCTCATCATTAAGCTCGGGCCCTGGGTCTGAAACCCGCCCTGTGCAACTGGTTCCGGAACTTCCTGACAGTCCAACCCCAGGTGTTGAAGGTAGGCAACAACACCTCCGCTACACTAATCCTCAACACGGGGGCCCCACAAGGGTGCGTGCTCAGCCCCCTCCTTTACTCCCTGTTCACACATGACTGCTTGGCCACGCACGTCTCCAACTCCATCATCAAGTTTGCAGACGACACAAGTGGTTGGCCTTATTACCAACAACGACGAGACAGCCTACAGGGAGGAGGTGAGGGCCGTGGCGGTGTGGTGGCAGATAATAACCTCTCCCTCAACGTCAACAAAATTAAGGAGCTGATCGTGGACTTCAGGAGAGCAGAGACGGCACGCCCCCATCAACGGGCCGCAGTGGAGAGGGTGACAAACTTCAAGTTCCTCGGCGTCCACATCACTGACAACCTGAAATGGTCCATCCACACAGACTGTGGTGAAGAAGGCGCAAAAAGTTGCAACCTCAGGAGGCTGAAGAAATTTGGCTTTGCCCCTGATACCCTCACAAACTTCTACAGATGCACAATGGAGAGCATCCTGTCAGGCTGTTTCACTGCCTGGTGTGGCAATTGCACCATCCGCAACCGCAGGGCTCTCTAGAGAGTGGTGAGATCAGCCCAACGCATCACCGGGGGCACACTGCCTGCCGTCCAGGACATCTACAGCACCCGGTGTCACAGGAAGGCCAAGAGATCATCAAGGACCTCAGCCACCCAAGCCACGGCCTGTTCACCTTGCTACAATCTAGAAGGCGGAGACAGTACATGTGCATCAAAGATGGGACAGAGAAACTGAAAAACAGCTTCTATCTCCAGGCCATCAGACTGTTAAATAGTCACCACAAACCGACCTCCGCCCAGTACCCTGCCCTGAACTTAGTCACTGTTACTAGCCAGCCACCGCCCAGTACCCTGCACTGAACTTAGTCACTGTTACTAGCCAGCCACCGCCCAGTACCCTGCCCTGAACTTAGTCACTGTTACTAGCCGGCTACCACCCGGTACTTTACTCTGCACCTTAGAGACTGCTGCCCTATATACATAGTAATTTAACACTGGTGACTTAAATAATGCTTACATAGTGTTTTACCCACTTAATATGTACAGTTGAAGTCGGAAGTTTACCTACACTTAGGTTGGAGTCATTAAAACTTGTTTTTCAACCACTCCACAAATTTCTTGTTAACAGGCTATAGTTTTGGCAAGTCGGTTAGGACATCTACTTTGTGCATGACACAAGTCATTTTTTCCAACAATTGTTTACAGACAGATTTTTTCACTTATAATTCACTGTATCACAATTCCAGTGGGTCAGATGTTTACATACACCAAGTTGGCTGTGCCTTTAAACAGCTTGGAGAATTCCAGAAAATGATGTCATGGCTTTAGAAGCTTCTGATAGGCTAATTGACATTATTTTAGTCAATTGGAGGTGTACCTGTGGATGTATTTCAAGGAATACCTTCAAACTCAGTGCCTCTTTGCTTGACATCATGGGAAAATCAAAAGAAATCAGCCAAGAACTCAGAAAATAAATTGTAGACCTCCACAAGTCTGGTTCATCCTTGGGAGCAATTTCCAAACGCCTGAAGGTACCACGTTCATCTGTACAAACAATAGTACGCATGTATAAACACCATGGGACCACGCAGCTGTCATACTGCTCAGGAAGGAGACGTGTTCGGTCTCCTAGAGATGAACGTACTTTGGTGCGAAAAGTGCAAATCAATCCCAGAACAACAGCAAAGGACCTTGTGAAGATGCTGGAGGAAACAGGTACAAAAGTATCTATATCCACAGTAAACGAGTCCTATATCGACATAACCTGAAAGGCCGCTCAGCAAGGAAGAAGCCACTGCTCCAAAACCGCCATAAAAAAGCCAGACTACGGTTTGCAACTGCACAAAGACAAAGATCGTACTTTTTGGAGAAATGTCCTCTGGTCTGATGAAACAAAAATAGAACTGTTTGGCCTTAATGACCATCGTTATGTTTGGGGGGAAAAAAGGGTGCTTGCAAGCCGAAGAACACCATCCCAACCGTGAAGCACGGGGGTGGCAGCATCATGCTGTGGGGGTGCTTTGCTGCAGGAGGGACTGGTGCACTTCACAAAATAGATGGCATCATGAGGAAGGAAAATAATGTGGATATATTGAAGCAACATCTCAAGACATCAGTCAGGAAGTTAAAGCTTGGTTGCAAATGGGTCTTCCAAATGGACCCCAAGCATACTTCCAAAGTTGTGGCAAAATGGCTTAAAGACATCAAAGTCAAGGTATTGGAGTGGCCATCACAAAGCCCTTACCTCAATCCTATAGAAAATGTGTGGGCAGAATTGAAAAAGCGTGGGCAAGCAAGGAGGCCTACAAACCTGACTCAGTTACACCAGCTCTGTCAGGAGGAATGGGCCAAAATTCACCCAACTAATTGTGGGAAGCTTGTGGAAGGCTACCCGAAACGTTTGACCCAAGTTAAACAATTTAAAGGCAATGCTACCAAATACTAATTGAGTGTATGTAAACTTCTGACCCACTGGGAATTTGAAATAAAAGCTGAAATAAATCATTTTCTCTACTATTATTCTGACATTTCACATTCTTAAAATAAAGTGGTGATCCTAACTGACCTAAGACAGGGAATTTTTACTAGGATTAAATGTCAGGAATTGTGAAAAACTGAGTTTAAATGTATTTGGCTAAGGTGTATGTAAACCTCCGACTTCAGCTGTATGATATGCATTGTATGCCTCTTATTTATCTATACCAGCTCTTCCAAAGCATTGCTTGATTGTGTCTTATATGCTTGCCTGCCAAAAATTGATAATGATAACAAAAGTATGTAGGTCACCATTCAAATATAACAACGACCCCTTCCTTCCCATGTTTCCTATGTTGCGCCTCTTCCAGCTGTACAACATTTCCCCCAGAATCGTTGAATGTTTTCCAGGAAAACACCATGAGCAGTTTAAGGCCATAGACAAGGCCAAAGCTTACATACGAGAGGAGGTAGATCGTCGCCTTAAAAACCTGGACACCTCTAACCCCCAGGACTACTTCGATGTATTCCTGGTTAAAATGCTGGAGGTAAAACAGTGATTTATTGCTGGAATTTGATATTGAACCTCTTACACAGTATCAAAATAATGTAATAGCACCACCTAGCTACCTAAATATATGATCAATGTTTACGTGGGTCTGAATCTTTGTGCAAAAAATCTGACTTTCTCACAAATCTCCTATCAGTGTATGATTTAGAGGTATCTTCCAACTTTCCTTAGGAGAAGGATCAGCCCGAGACTGAGTTCAACTATGACAACTTGTTTCCGTGTGTGTGGGATCTGTTTGCTGCCGGCACAGAGACCCAGTCCTCCACCCTATCACACGCCTGTCTGATGATGATCAAGTACCCTGACATCCAAGGTATCCTCTCTTCTGTATCACTGCTATTGAAGTTATACTCATTTATTGCAAATATATAGAAAATAGTACTGCAACCCGACTTAATGGGACGGTTTCCATGGACGCAGATTAAGTCTATTCCTGGACTAAAAAGCACTATAATTAATGGAGATTCCCTATTGAACATGTTTTTAGACTTAATCTGGGTCTGGAAAACCAGCCAAAAAAGAGCTGCAACAGAGAGTTTACATTACATGTCATGTAAGCAGCACATGCATCCTGGCATTTCTTCATTCTCAGTACACTATAAACACTGTATATAAACATAAATGACAGAACCCAACTGCTATGAAGGTCTATGACTGTCTCACTTCCTCAGAGAAAGTTCAGAAGGAGATAGATGAGGTGATTGGCTCGAACAGAGTCCCCACAGTTGACGACAGACATATGATGCCCTACACGGACGCTGTAATCCACGAAATCCAGAGAAGTATGAGTCTTGCTCCCACTGCTGCCCCTCACCAAATGACCCGAGACACAACGTTCCACAACTACCACATCCCAAAGGTGACCACCATTTCTGCAAACTTATCCCAAACGTCTATTAATTTTTACTTGTTAAACTGCCAATTGTTTTATGTAAGTGCTCTTTTGTAATTCTTCCAGGGTACCACAGTGTTTCCACTGTTGTCCTCTGTGCTGTTTGACCCCAAACTGTTTAAGAACCCAGACGAGTTTGACCCAGAGAACTTCCTGGATGAAAATGGACGCTTTAAGGAAAACAACGGACGTCTTGCTTTTGGACTGGGTAACATTTTGTTACAAGTGGCTAATAGAATAATATGAGAATGTGAAAACAAGAACCACTCCATAGTAGCTCTCAGAGAAAAAGAATCAACATCATCACACGATATACATACACATTGCTAGCATCTTGTTTGATATGTTTTGCAAATCAAACAAGGCCAATGTGTAGGTTTCAGTCCCAGGATTGCAGGTTGACTGCTGAAGGTAACCTATCTCCTCTCCCACTGTCCCTCAGGGAAGCGGTCCTGCCTGGGAGATGGAATGGGGATTCCCAGGATGGTACTCTTCCTGTTCTTTATTTCCCTTCTTCAGCGTTTCACCTTCAGGGGCACCAAACCTCCAGAGGAAATTGACGCCAGTGTAGTATCCTCCTTCATTGGCCGCCTTGCGCGCCCCTACACCTGCTATGTCAAACTCAGGACACCAAATATTTAATTGATCAAACAGCTTTTAATCTTGATGAAATTCAATGTGATTTATTTTCTGAATAAGGAGTCTCAACAGAAAAGTTGTCATGTTATTAATGTCCATTTTTTGTTAGAGACCAAAAAACAATTGACAAATAGTTAAAAACTTACTGTCAGATTAAGAATAATTTAACAAATGTAAATAAAAAGTGAATAAAAAGTGTCCATTCATGTCACATAGTCTTATATGTGAGATTTAGTACTGATCTCTGTACTGTAATCTCCATGTGATGATAACATATTCACACAGAGTGAAATATAATTTGAGTCACAGTGCACCCAGTTTACCTGTTGACAGGTATATAGACAATGTGGAGTCAAGTCAGAAGGACATGTCCGTTTATGTAACATGTTCCACCCCTGCCACAATGGACCCAATGTATTATGGGTCCAGGGTGACAGTACGGTACTAACTCACTGCACGGTTCTAACGTAGGCATCCACTGAATCAACCTCCCTTTGACCTCAGTTTACTGGGTCCACTCTCTAGATCCAGGTCACGGCACCACTGTAACACATACTAGCAATGCTAACTAACCATATGCTACATCTGGTAATTTTTTCTTGAAAAGTCAATGTCTGACATAAGCAGTTCTACAAACAACACAATATTTTGGAATGTTGGCCAAAGAAATGCCAAAGGTACAGTGAGGGAAAAAAGTATTTGATCCCCTGCTGATTTTGTACGTTTGCCCACTGACAAATAAATGATCAGTCTATAATTTTAATGGTAGGTTTATTTGAACAGTGAGAGACAGAATAACAACAACAAAATCCAGAAAAACACATGTCAAAAATGTTATAAATTGATTTGCATTTTAATGAGGGAAATAACTATTTGACCCCCTCTCAATCAGAAAGATTTCTGGCTCCCAGGTGTCTTTTATACAGGTAACAAACTGAGATTAGGAGCACACTCTTAAAGGGAGTGCTCCTAATCTCAGCTTGTTACCTGTATAAAAGACACCTGTCCACAGAAGCAATCAATCAATCAGATTCCAAACTCTCCACCATGGCCAAGACCAAAGAGCTCTCCAAGGATGTCAGGGACAAGATTGTAGACCTACACAAGGCTGGAATGGGCTACAAGACCATCGCCAAGCAGCTTGGTGAGAAGGTGACAACAGTTGGTGCGATTATTCGCAAATGGAAGAAACACAAAATAACTATCAATCTTCCTCGGCCTGGGGCTCCATGCAAGATCTCACCTCGTGGAGTTGCAATGATCATGAGAATGGTGAGGAATCAGTCCAGAACTACCCGGGAGGATATTGTCAATGATCTCAAGACAGCTGGGACCATAGTCACCAAGAAAACAATTGGTAACACACTACGCCGTGAAGGACAGAAATCCTGCAGCGCCCGCAAGGTCCCCCTGCTCAAGAAAGCACATATACAGGGCCGTCTGAAGTTTGCCAATGAACATCTGAATGATTCAGAGGAGAACTGGGTGAAAGTGTTGTGGTCAGATGAGACCAAAATCGAGCTCTTTGGCATCAACTCAACTCGCCGTGTTTGGAGGAGGAGGAATGCTGCCTATGACCCCAAGAACACCATCCCTATCGTCAAACATGGAGGTGGAAACATTATGCTTTGGGGGTGTTTTTCTGCTAAGGGGACAGGACAACTTCACTGCATCAAAGGGACGATGGACGGGGCCATGTACCGTCAAATCTTGTGTGAGAACCTCCTTCCCTCAGCCAGGGCATTGAAAATGGGTCGTGGACTGGTATTCCAGCATGACAATGACCCAAAACACACGGCCAAGGCAACAAAGGAATGGCTCAAGAAGAAGCACATTAAGGTCCTGGAGTGGCCTAGCCAGTCTCCAGACCTTAATCCCATAGAAAATCTGTGGAGGGAGCTGAAGGTTCGAGTTGCCAAACGTCAGCCTCGAAACCTTAATGACTTGGAGAAGATCTGCAAAGAGGAGTGGAACAAAATCCCTCCTGAGATGTGTGCAAACCTGGTGGCCAACTACAAGAAACGTCTGACCTCTGTGATTGCCAACAAGGGTTTTGCCACCAAGTACTAAGTCATGTTTTGCAGAGCGGTCAAATACTTATTTCCCTCATTAAAATGCAAATCAATTTATAACATTTTTGACATGCGTTTTTCTGGATTTCTTTGTTGTCATTCTGTCTCTCACTGTTCAAATAAACCTACCATTAAAATTATAGACTGATCATGTCTTTGTCAGTGGGCAAATGTACAAAATCAGCAGGGGATCAAATACTTTTTTCCCTCACTGTATATTATATAGGAAAATATTTGTGAAGTGCAATGCTCAGTTTGTGAATGCTATTTCAGTAGTTGTGAGGTTCAGCCAAGCCACTTTGGAAATTAAGATAATAGTACACACACACACAATTTGAGTAATGATCGAGGCCTCTCTGTCAAGCACCAGTAATGAGCCTAGTAGGAATACTGCTAGTAAAAAAAACGTCTGTTCATTTTTATGACATACATTTTGATGGACATGTTTGGGTAATGGGTTGGCCCCATTTGGAGTGAATGGGAAGACAGAAATACAAAGCTACCTCATTACTCCATTGGTATGTGTGAAGATGGGGCCTCTGTGTATGTGGGTTAGAGGAGCTATTTCAAAAGGGAAGTTGGAAATTGCCTGGTTTAATTGCCTACATTTATACAGAACCACTGTTCAACTGGTGGGTAGGCATTAGGTGGAATGTGGCCCTCAAGAAGAGACTATTGACAAACAGTAAAATGAGTTGAGGGCTCTGGATGCTCATACAGATCGATACACACAGAGTAGTCAAGCTATATCTGGAGAAGTTAGGGCTGTGCTAGTTTTAGATTGAAACCAGTCTTTAAATAGGAGTAGGGGATTGTTAGCTGGGATAAAAAAACAAACACATTTAGCTAAACTCATATTGGTTAACTGGTATTTCAAATCTTCACTGAGGGTGTGATCAGGGCAAACTATTTTGTTTCTCACAGATTCCAGCATGGAGAACTTAGGTTTTGTCATCCTTACACAGATATACATTGCCTTCGGAAAGTATTCAGACCCCTTTACTTTTTCCACATTTTGTTACGGGACAGCCTCATTCTAAAATTAAATAAATAGTTTTTTTCCCTCATCAATACACCACAATGACAAAGCAAAAACTGTTTTTTATAAATTTTTGTTAATTTATTAAAAAGAAAACCCGGAAATATTACATTTACATAAGTATTCAGACCCTTTTCTCAGTACTTTGTTGAAGCACCTTTGGCAGTGATTACAGCATTGAGTCTTCTTGGGTATGACGCTACGAGCTTAGCACACCTGTATTTGGGGAGTTTCGCCCATTCCTCTCTGCAGATTCTCTCAAGCTCTGTCAGGTTGGATGGGGAGCGTTGCTGCACTGCTATTTTCAGGTCTTTCCAGAGATGTTGGATCGTGTTCAACTCCGGGCTCTGGCTGGGCCACTCAAGGACATTCAGAGACTTGTCCCGAAGCCACTCCTGTGTTGTCTTGGCTGTGTGCTTAGGGTTGTTGTCCTGTTGGAAGGTGAACCTTCGCCCCAGTCTGAGGTCCTGAGTGCTCTGGAGCAGGTTTTTATCATGGATCTCTCTGTACTTTGCTCCATTCATCTTTGCCTCGATCCTGACTAGTCTCCCAGTCCCTGCCACTGAAAAACATCCCCACAGCATGATGCTGCCACCACCATGCTTCACCGTAGGCATGGTGCCAGGTTTCCCCCAGGCGTGATGCTTGGCATTCAGGCCAGAGCGAAATCTTGGTTTCATCAGACCAGATAATCATTTTTTCTCATGGTCTGAGAGTCTTTAGGTGCCTTTTGGCAAACTCCAAGCGGGCTGTCATGTGCCTTTTACTGAGGAGTGGCTTCCGTCTGGCCACTGTACCATAAAGGCCTTATTGGTGGAGTGCTGTAGAGATGGTTGTCCTTCTGGAAGGTTCTCCCATCTCCACAGAGGAACTCTGGAGCTCTGTCAGAGTGACCATCAGGTTCAAATTATGTCCAATCATTTGTATTTACCACAGGTGGACTCCAATCAAGTTGTAGAAAAATCTCAGGGATGATCATTGGAAGCAGTCTCATAGCAAAGGGTCTGAATTCTTATATAAATATGGTATTTCTGTTTTTTCTTTTTAATAAATGTGATTTTTTTTCCCGCTTTGTCATTATGCTGTCAGACATGTAGATCAACAACATACCACAAACAAACATACAGTAGAATACTAATGTGTATTTTGTAGCTGTGGTCTATCATGTAGAGAGCCATTTCATATTGCACCATAGTGATTAGGCTACATGGAAGCAGGGGTACTGGGACCTTAATTCCCAGAAGCAGAGGAGAGATTCCCTCTTGGCATGTTACGACCTGTGTTCAGGGGGTTATAAAACCTTCAGCTGGGTGGTAAGTGGTTGTGGTTAGTCTGGAAAACCTATAAGAAAAAACGATTTGTGGTGAGTAACAGGCTACCATAACTCATCACGAAAGAGATAATTTTCATTCCAGACTCCATAAGCCTGTGATAAATGGAGAATATTACAGAAGGTGCCACAGACTACACCAAGGCTGCTGAAGGGAGGACAGATCATAATAATGTCTGGAACCGAGCAAATGGAATGGCATCAAACACATGGAAACCATGTTTTTTATGTATTTGATACCATTCCACTTATGCCACTCCAACCATTACCACGAGCCGTCCTCCCGAATTAAGGTGCCACCAACCTCCTGTGGCTTATAGATACAGTGCTTATAGATACAGTGCTTAAAGGACCTCTGGAATATGGTCACCTTCCATTCTGTGATAGTTTTCACTATGTGAATATGACATTACAAATAATTCAACCCATTTTGACAGTGCAGTAAAGAAACTCCCCTTCCCCCACTGACTTCATTTGAAGAATACATCTCTTGCTAGTTATCTTCCATATAGTGCATGTGTTCGAACCCTCCTTAGATGTCTCTGATTACATGTCTATCTTTCTCACCCTCAGGTCATTTGCAGGAGTTATGCCTCACACACAGCCACCACCATGATAGTAATGTGCATTCCTTTAGGTCTATGCTATTGATATTGCGTAAGAGCGCGGTTCCTTTGTTCTCTGTATTCAGTTACGACTATAAGGTTGCGATAAATGTATGGCTAGAGAGCAAGGGGCATTAGAGATTGGTTGGGTGAGAAGAATTCAAACTACAGCATTGCCTAGGGAAACCATAGTGTTTGTGTGTGTGGCTAGCTCACTGGTGAAGACAATATTGGTTTACTCACCTCTTGCCTTCTCAGAGAGTTTTTCCAATACCAACATGTAAACACACTCTTGTTTAAATATCCATTGCACATGAAAAGACAGTCCATGGTTGGCACATAATGTTTCCATTTTGTCCACAAGTACAGGCAGAAGTAGAAAACAAAGAAGCAAACCCCCAAAACAGACGAATCAGAGCAGATAAAGGTTGGACGGTGTTCATTTCCTAATTTAAGTAGCTTTCCTCAACATCTAGGTCAATTGAGGCGATATTGCACTTGGGATGGGTCATCTTATCTGCCACTGGAAACCTATAGAAGTCACAGCACAGCTTGATTGGCCAGTGCAGAAAAGGCATTCTGGCAATCATCCAATGAGGCCCAGATCATGTTCACACAACTATTAAGACATGGGTTCGACAAAACACCAAGTAGGCCACATAGATCTGGAAGTACACAACTGAATTGGAAGCAGGTGATTGTCTGGTTCATATTCCATCCACTAGAAATTACAACGGTAGCCATTAGCCTCCCACAGGGCCCCTCAGCAGTAGCTCTCAGAGTATTTGATGGCTCCCTCTCCGCCCCCGTTGCCCAGTGGAGCTCCATCAAGGCCGTTCAGCACCTGCTTGCGGGCGGAAATGTAGCAGTAGGCCTTGCCCTTCTTGGCCCCTGGGTGGTGGTGTGGGTGCGGGTGGGGATGCTGCCCCGAGCCGGAGGCGTCCGAGGAGAGGTTGTGGGTATCCTCATGTGGACAGTCAGGCTGGCAGGGTGGGTCGTGGTGGCACTGCCCGCCGCCCGTGCCCCCCTGTGGCGTGTTGCTGCCGGTGTTGCGAAGGTCATCCAAGACAGTCATGCCCAGCTTCCATCGCTGCCACTTCTTCTTTATCTCTGACTGCACCTGGGAGAGGGAGAGAGGGATGCATGAGGGAAGGTAATTTGTTTTTTTCTGACCTTATGATCTGACCAGGAAAAACGTTTCACAAGACAAATTGTATCTAATTATATCTTTATTCTCTTGAAACACTACTGTATGTAGGCTACCTCAACCAACTAGCCCATATCTCAACAGGAGATACATAGGACCTTTCATGTCACACAGTGGCCTATACACTTCTTGACTCTACACATGGCTGGGCCCCTCAGTGACATCCCGTTGCCCTGTGGACTTAGGTATTAAGCTTCTCTGTGTGACAGCTAACCCACAGTGACAGGGTGACATACCCAGCAGGTCACAGAAAGCACAGGCTTCTCATAGGAACAAACAGAAACAAATGTGCCATAACCTCAGGTGTTTGCTACTGATGTTCAAGTGCACTTGTTTTGCCCTGGGCTTTGTTGAGAGCACACTTCACTTCGTTACTCACCTCTTTATTGACGAAGCAGTACAGGATGGCAACCAGGAGACCCTGTGGGACGAGAGAGAGAGAGGTATCAGAAGAAGAGTGATTACCTCTATCTTCCCATATCTAAGACACACCTAACAGAAGCACCACAGAGAGAAAGAACATGCAGTAACAAGCAAGAATGCCTGCGTGCACAGGACACATGCAAGCACACGCGCTTGCACGCGCGCACGCACGCACACACACACACACACACACACACACACACACACACACACACACAAACACACAAACACACAAACACACCCCCATATAGACAAATGCATAACCTTTTTATCTCATCATATTACCTGGAAAGAGTTGAAGAAAAGTTCAAAGAAGAGGTTGATATTTCGGAGGATGCCCTCTGTCTGTTCTTCTGACATCACGGCAAAGACAACCTCATGGATGCCCAGGAGAGGGATGAGGGTCAGAGTTGACTTAGCCAACCTGCACACACAGAGCATCCTTTACAGAGTCAAGCAAGGGCAACTATTAGAGAGGTCCTATGTGGTGAATCTCTTTCATCAATGACATCAATGGATGGTTCACTTTTCACACAAACACATAAAAGCCAAACAAGGAAAGCCACAAGTTCCACATCTGGACTCAGAGCAGGGATGTTAAGTAACGGCTTCAAACAAAGCATCTTGGGAAATCAGAAAGGCCTCCTCTTCCCATGACTCTTTGGTGGTTCAGAATTGAATTGTGCTTAGATTCCAATCAGACTCATGTTATCCAGTGTGCCTCAAAGCCAGGCTTAGGTCAGAGGATTAGGCATGCGACTGGTCTCTTGGATGTGGCTGGTTTCCTAAAAAGTCTATGCCGTCTCCAAGGACCACGGCTCACAATCAAAGGATGGGAGGCCCCTTTCAATACCACAGAAACATCAAAGAATTCCATAGCTCCCTTTCCTCTGCATGCCATAAATGGTTAGTAGAAGTGCAAGTCAACTTAGTGATGGATTATTGAGGTAATGGATGTCAACTAAGTTTGAAGCAAATATCTTTAGTGTGGATAGTGTTATGTCATCATAATGTCTGCTGGCTCGCACAAGAGTAGAGTCCTTGTGTGTTCATGCTGGACGATAGTTGACAACATTATTGCCAAAGGTACGGTAATGTTCCGTGAATTGAACAGTGTTTAACAAGGTATGACATAGACAAAGTTATGTGACAAGAAACACAAACATGTGTAAGCAATGAGTTGACTAAATCAGTTTTATAAGATACAACACGGTGTTTGTTTTGTGTTTTTATTCTGGTTTGCTTTGATCTAATTCATGGATTAGAAGGTGCTGTATCTTACCTGAATTTATAATCGGTGTACCTCATTTGGTGTGCCTTTAATTTGGAGACAAGGATCTGTATGATCCGAATAAATATGAAAAAGTTGATCTGGAATAAAAAATAAATAAATAAAACATAATTAACATCAAACCACCCAATATTAGCTTTATTAATTTCAGAAATAAAATGTAAGAATCTGACATCTAAAAAGGATATGTATCCAAATAGGTCTGTTCTGTTCTCTGGCATTTCAGTATTTTATAAGAAAGGGAAACAAGGATAACTGCTACTGTTGAAGTAGGGTGAATATGTGAGAATTCCACAAAAATGTGAAAAGCGAAAGTTTGAGTTCCAAAGTCAGATTGCAGCATGTTAGGGGTATTAACTGCAAAGTCCAGGTGACAAGAGTGCAACTGCACGCCATATTATGTGTGAATTACTCCTATTTATTTATTTAACCTTTATTTTGACAGGGAGTCATGCTGAGACCAAGGCCTCTTTTACAGATGAGCCTTGTAATTACAAAGATATACACATCAATACAATATGGAAAGTAAAACAGAGTTACAAAACACAGTCTATGTCTAACATTACTAACAATGTCAAACCATGTTAGGCATTTTGTCCTGAGGGGAAACGCGAGAGTTGTGGGACAAATGACAAGTAATCTGTGACAGGAGAATCCTCATCTCTTCTGGCATGTTTGCTTCTAATGCAAAATACCATAGAAAAAAAGGATATTCTCTTCTTCTCAGTTTCACTGAGAGACACTAATTAAACACTCTTAAGATAAGGTGGATTCAAGCTTCAAGAACTTGTTAAGCATAAATATTCAAGGTCTAGGTCCTTATTTCTAAGTGTTACTAAGAAAAGAAAAGAAACCGAGTGACATTAATTTTATGTCTTCTGGGTTGATGAGTCATTCATTAATTTTTATGTACAGGCCATTCCGGAACCAAAACATGCTCACTCAGCTTTCCCGTTTACACAATTTCCCCAGGCTTGTCACGGTCCGCTAACTTCAAAGAGACAAGACTGCAGGGGAAGTGGGGGGGGGGGGGGGGGTGGGGGGCAGAGGGCGGAGGAGAGGAGCGGGGGGTTGACGAATGACTCACCCCTGGACCCCCGTTGCTTTAGGGCACACAGCACAGTGGACACACGTCAACACACACTCACCAGAATGGCCAGGAGGATGGGTGTGCGGATGATCCACCAGTACGCCATGTTCTCGTTGATCTCCCAGCACCTGGGAGGAGATGAGTCACAATCTCTCAGTTGTAATTCTGTTTTTAGTAACAGATGATAAGGCAATAAGACTGAATGGAAATGAGAGTGACTCACCGTGTGTTTTCGTACAGGTACCGCACTATAATCCAGGGGACCACAAATAACACTGGGGTTCCTACAAACAGTGCCATAAACCCATACATTACTGTCAGGAAACAGTATTTACATTGTTTACCATGCATGTGTGTTCATCTGTGTGTGTGTGTGTGAGAGAGTGTGTGTGTGTGTGTGTGTGTATCTACCCCAGCCGATGAAGAGGTATCCACAGAAGTAGCTGTTCTCAGAGAAGACCATGAGCACCAGGAGGTTGTGTAGGTACAGGCCCTCCACCAGCAGCCAGTAGTAGTTAGCCCCCACACAGTACTGCATCAGCACCTGGGCCACACGGCAGCCAGAGAGAGCCTGGGGGCAAAGGTCAGGGGTCAAAGGTCAGGGGAGGAGGTCAAGGATGGCTGTCTAAAGTATGAGTGATGAATTGAGTCTTTAAACTGTACGTTTGTGTTTTTGTGTTTCTGTAACCTGCATTAGTGTGTATAGCCTTTAGTTCTGACCTGATCACTGAGGACATTGGACACATCTCTGTTGTCTCTGAACTCGGGGGTGTCCCTGGTGAGAACAGCATCTCTGGTGAGGATGGATATGGCTCGCAGGATGAAGGATGCAAACAGATTGGTGTGGATATAGTTCCTGGTGCATCTTAGTTTCCTAGGGTACAATACTTGACAATGAGATTACTGTATCACAAAATTCTTTCCAGCATCATGTATATGTCATATACAGACGTAGGATCTTAATTTGATCACTCTTGTTGCTGAGAATTTTCCTGCACAGCAGGAAATGCAAACTTGTAGTGTATTCAAGGTTCTAAAGTTTGTAATTTCCACTTTAAAATGTCTGAATTTGCGGGAACAAAAAATATCCATTAATTACAATCCACATAATAATTAACATTTCCTGTTGCTGCAGGATTATTTTCCTGCTGTAGCAAACAGGCTCAAATTAAGATCCTACATCTGTATGATTAACATTTGCCTAATTCACATCAGAGGACTAGAAGTGAAGCCATTGCCTTAGTTCATAGTCAGAGTCAGATCCTGACATATTGTTTATGACTGTGGTCAGAGCCAGTATTTACCTGAAGATGAGCAGTATGATGAGGGCCAGGGAAAGGCTGGCCAGGGACAGAGAGTAGCCCACAGTGTACATCACCCGGAAGTAGGCCAAGATCACCATCTGGTTCTCCTGTGGACACACAAAGACATGCACTCAAATCCCAAGTAGACGAGGGAACAACCTGACCCTGTTTTCACCCATAACTCTCTGACTCTCTTCTGGATTTGCTGTGCTGTACTGAACTAATGTCCGGTCCTTTAGGTAGAGCGCAAACAGAGACACAGATACAGACAAAGCAGATGCACTGACCGCAAGTAGTCCTCTTGTCTTGTTGTCTATCATGCCTTGGAAAACGTTCATAAATGTTTTAATGATGCTCGCAGTCCACCTGTTAAAAGTATGTGACACTCCATTATTGTATACTCTAGGCTTATGCATCTCACAAATTAGAACATGTGAGTGTAACAGGTGAAGTGGAGCGTAAACGCACATTTACCCACCTATCATGGAAAAATGCTTTGGAAATATAGGGAGAGTTATTTTATTCACTGCAAATGGCTGCGAACGGCGATCAGCATTTACCCACCTATTTTTCTTATCATCAGAGAGTCTGCAGACTGGAGTACATTTCAGCTGTGGGGCCAATGAGGCAAAGCAGTGTTGCATCATCGGTTGCCAGCAACAACATAACCCCTAGGTTAAAGAGAAGACTGTGTGTCTCTCAGAGCTCACCCCTCACACTCTGTAGCCTGGCAGATCTATAACCCTGTATGTAGTACAGACTAAGTAATGACATATTTTATACATGTATTTATGTAGTGAATGGGCCATTCATTACTGAGCTCGTAATGGGGTGCAGCATTAGATGTGAAATTAAGAGAGGGTAAGGAGGACGTGAGTTGCGCATATTGATAGGGATTAGTGGAAGTCATCATTAGGGCACAGCAACTGCTGCTGCTGCTAGCCCACCTCAACATTCATAAGCAATCAGAGCATTCGGGCATTATCGTAAAAGGATGGCCATTCTAGTAATTGCATTTCTATGTCCCGTACAGGTGGTATGCCATTGGAATACCTACTCTATTACTCCTTGCTTTTTGAATGGCTATTTGGCTATAAATTAGTTTACCTCTCAAAGCATCTGTCAGTACTTGGAGGGTCTATTAAGACTACGGGTGTAGTTTTCTAAAAGTCAAATTCAGTAATTAAAAGCATTAACCATTTGAAAGTCTCTTCTTCTTCTTCTTCTTCTTCTTCTTCTTCTTCTTCTTCTTCTTCTTCTTCTTCTTCTATGGTATATTGGCGATTACACAATTTAATGTGCATCCCGCCACCTAATATGCAGGATGGAAACAGGATTCCTCAAAAAAACCGAACTACCAAAAAACGACCAAAAAATGAATCAATAAAATAAACTAAATCAAACAACTTTTCTGTTAAAAATAAATAAATAAATAAAACAGATCTGATCCCTACACAGGCTCAAGGGGAACCTGGGAGAGCGGTCTTCCGGCGCCAGTACCCCTTTCAGATGTAAAATCCTTGAGTCCCAAAAACGTTTCTGCAGCAGCCACAATAATGTCTAGTTTCTTCTACTTTTTTTAGACTGCTGTACAGTTTATAACTGTGGCAATGAACGCAACAAAGTCCACCTTTTTAACACACAGGGTATCTTTTGTCTGGCAGCAAACATTTACTACAGGCTGTGGTGTATCCACTACCATCTCTTCACTAGCATCACTTGTTTTCTCAATTATTTTAATCGCTTCCGCATAGGAGATCCGATTGACTGCTCTAACTTTTGCCACCTCAATTTCCTTCACCCTTACAGGGCACTCCAGGAACTCAGGATCATGATCCCCACCAAAATTGCAACACCGTCATCCTTCTACACACCGTTCTTCAGTATACTCTGTTCGTCTGCACACACTTGAAACATGGCCAAATCCTTTCCATTTCTTACACTGCAGTGGTTTGGGGACGAAAGCTCTTACGGCGTTTCTTACATAACCAAGCTTCACATGCGTAGGTATTGCTCTATCAAAAAACAACAGGACCGACAGACTTTCTTCTTTCCTCCATTCACCCAACGGGTCAGACACCGGGCACCAACCACACCAGGAATTCTCTTCAGGTATTCAACCTGAACATCCGTCATCACACCTGAGATGACTCCTTTGATGTGTGTTCTACTCCGAAGTTCAAAACACAAAACTTCTGTTGTCCGGATTCTTTTGAGGCCCACTGCAATTTTCCTCTGCTCTTCAGAAATACAATTAACCAAAATAAGATCATTCCTGGTCACTCTGACAGACTCCACTTTTCCAAGCGTACATACTTCACCATTTTTGACACCTCAATCGTGTTTCCCACATATGCATCCTTACTCAACAAAATCATCCCAACAAGAAGCAATTCATTATAATTTACACACGTATCTTCCACTCCAATTTTAGACAATATCCTTTTTATTCCAGTTTTCGATATTACTGTCTTCACCAAATTTGCTCGACATGCTGCTTAATTCGAACTCAGCATCCACTTCTGCCATCTTCCCTGCAGAGCCAGTCTCTTGTCCTCCTCTTAGCCATGCATGTTATTATGTGCTCTGAGAAGAGGGTCTACTTCAGGAATGGTGCATGATGGGTATTACCTGTGCCACCTGCTGGTTGTTGTCTGCGTTGCACTGGGAGTGGTCCCTCCAGGTGCTACTGGTGTTGTTAATGGCCCACTGGCCATCAGGCCCACACTCCCGCAACACATAACCATTACGAACTGCACAGACATGGGGAGGGAGAGAAAAAGGAAGAAGGCAAACAGATGAGACATATTCAATTCTGCACATAGACATTAAAACCAGCAGATAGTGATAGCGCTGACGTCATCCACGTGTCCTATGGAAAACTCCCAATGGCGCATGAAGCCGGAATTATTTGAATTTGAAGTGCACCATATTGCTGAATGGGACTGAATGGCGCCACAAAATTGCTTAGGATCATGGTGAAAGTGGCAACAAGGAGCCTCCTCATTGCCTGCCGGCCCGTGATTGGTCTGTGTCAGCACGTGGTCCTGTGTGACGACAAATGTAGTAGTCAGAATGGATCACTATTTAATGAAATATCTCGATTTGTAGTGGACTTTAAACGTTGGCATTTGCTCAAATTTAACTTGACATGAGAATGTGTTCACCTTCCCGCAAACTTTAGACCATGCATACGCACATCTGCTAGTGGTTGAGATATTGTATTGTAAGTTGGCAAGTAAGTATTTTGTGCAAATGGGGAATATGATGAAAAGCTTATTCATAAAAAACTAAAAAAAGGAAAACATATTAACAAGAATGCAACCCTTTTCCATTAGTGAGAAGAGCAAAAATCTATGTTAGATTTTTTTAGTCTAAAATAATTTGACATAGGAATCTTATAATTAGACAGAAATATTTTTCCTCTTTTATTTTCAGAACCATTGCAGAATATATTCCTCACTTTTCTGGCCTTGAAGGGTTAATATTCCCGAAGGAGCCATACAACAAATTACCATGTGCATACTATCATTTAATTGGACCTAGTAGCCTAGTAAGTAGATAGGCCATATGTATTTCAAGTTTTGCAATATCATCGGCAGCGCAGTTTATAATACCGGTATAGGCTACAGTCGAATTTAACAGCTGATCTTTTACATTGAAGTAGGCCTATGAATCAAGTTTCACATTTTAATTGTCACTTGCACAAGTACAGTGAAATGCCTTGCTTGCTCTTTCCCAACAATGTAGTGATGAGTATCAGTAGTACTATAATAAATAAAAAAGCCAAATAGAACAAAAACACACAAGAAATAGAACTGTAAGTATTGTAATTAAAACATTTTAGTAGCCCTACAATGTTTCAGAAAGCGCGGGCAGTCCATCATATTTAGGTTAGGGGAAAAGTTTATATAAAACATTGTTGAATTCAAACGTTCTGCTGACAGGTCCATGACAATTTGCCATAGATTTCTCTTTAAGAAACGGAAACAGTCCTGTTCCAGATACAGCATACATTACTGCTAAAGATTCAAACATTCTGCCAACACATTAAATAGACCGGTAGTTGATGTAAAATATTTGACAGTATGGGTAGGTTACAGTATTGCTGTGCGATTGGAGCGCGACATCATTGCCTATTTAATCTCAGAGTCTATACCAAGGCAGGACAACCAAAACCCAATAATCTATTGATAAACTATTGAACAACAATTTGTCTTTTGCATGCCGTGGTCTAATGCCAATAGTTCCACATTTTACAACAAATAAAGGGCGTTATTGTCACCATAAAAGGTGAATGAAGCGTTTTCCAGGCAAAGTTTTAATGCTCGTTCACGCATCCACAGTTTTACGACAGGGCTGATTTATAATGGGATACATGCATATGTATTGCGTGCGTCAAGTTTATAAATCTCAATATTTTTGTATGTGCGCAGACTTTCAGAAATGGCGCACGGTTAAAAATGAGGCCCCAGGGCTTTTGGCACTGCTAAGTTAGTACGCAGTAGCCGACCAGCAGTGCTCGTGATTTCACGCTCCAGATCAGACACTGGGGGCCTGATTCTGCACTGCTTTAGATAGAAACAGTGTTATCATTAACCTCCTTGCTGGACGTTGGATGAAACAGAATCTCAATTATCCTACCAAACCATAAAGCACTAACCAATGCCACACCAGTACCTTGGTTGTACCAGGGGAGGTACCACGGACAGGGCACTTTGACAGTGGTGTTGGGGACGCCCTCCGGCCAGCAGGCGTACATGTCAAACATGCGGCCGCAGAACAAGCCTGGGGGGAGAAGAGAAGATATAAGTAAGTCGTAAGTAAGTAAGTAAGCAGTAGCTAATTAAGTAAGCAGTAAGTAAGTAGTAAGCAAGCAGTAAGTAAGTAAGTAGGTAGGTAGGTAGGTAGGTAGGTAGGTAGGTAGGTAGGTAGGTAGGTAGGTAGGTAGGTAGGTAGGTAGGGTAAGTAAGTAAGTAAGTAAGTAAGTAAGTAGTAAGTAAGTAAGTAAGTAAGTAGTAAGCAGACCCTGAATCCCTAAGATTTTGTCTGAAGCTAAGCAGGATAGAGACTGTTTAGTGTTTGGATGAAGACCCCCTGGGAAAACAGTAGTAATGATGAGGATACTGCCCTGCAATGGATGCAGTCCTTTGGGTCAGACGTTAAGTCGAAGCCTGACTCATGTTACTTATTCTAAGAATTGGGTAGATTCTGTGGACTCTGAAATATATATTTGTTTGAGGGAAAGGAGAAGGGTGATGAAGCTCCTGGTGTTTTATCATAATTGTGAAGCCAAATGCATATTTCCACTGTCTACTGTAGACAATAACGTTTTCAATGTTATTCTATTCTATTTATAAACCCATAACTGGGTGTGCCTGATTAGGACACATACATGTAGGACAGGTGTCTGTCTTTGAGTCTTACCTGGGTGTGTGGGGTCCGTGCTCATTCTCAGCAGGCATTCGTTCCTGTATCTGTTCCATTCCTCCACCGTGTGCTTCACCGTCTTTGTTGACACAAGCTGCCGGTCACAAATCACAGGATGGAGGGTCAGGGGTCAACCCCAGTGGGTTCTTCTGGGTAAGCCCCACAATACCTAACTGCAGTGGGCCTGACTGGGTGTAAAACCTGACTGGATATAAAACACTAATGCCTTGGCTTACTGTAGTGCTGTAACTTAAGTTCTCCATAAAAGCTGACATATCCACTAAACCAGCTGCATCGATTGAGGATGCAAAGCACATTACACTGACACTGCTGTTCAGATCAGCTTCCCAGCACTCTGATTGTGTTCTATAAAGCACACTGAGACCGTTATTACCTGCAGTGATTCAGAACAGTGAATCATCTTCACATTACTTACATTTCATAACAGCTCCTGAGGACAATCAAACAAACTAACGACGGCAGAGTCTAAAGACACGACACACTTATATGGATGTCTTGAAGGTGGAAAGTAATGTTAAGTACAATCACTACTGCCGTAATGAGCAGAAACAAAGTTAAAAGTGCCTACCCCAGTTCTGCACAGGACAGACAGGATGAGGATGAAGGCAGGGGTCTTCATCACTTAGAGGAGTGCCAGGGAGGAGGGCCACTCATCATCTCAGGGCTGCTGGGTGTTGTTCACCCAGGGGGGCCAGAACCAGGCCATGCCTCAGACCTCCACCCCATAGCCCACACCCTGCAAAACAACACACACAATCAGTTAGACCTACTGTGTACAATACAGAGCAATCACTCAATATGGGTTTGGGTTACAATTCTTATCACATATTACGCTAAAACAGAATGTATCTTATTATTTTTTTACTTTTTACCCCTTTTTCTCCCCACTTGGTAGTTACAGTCTTGTCCCATCGCTGCAACTCCCGTACGGACTCGGGAGAGGTGAAGGTCGAGAGCCATGCGTCCTCCGAAACACGACCCCGCCAAGCCGCACTGCTTCTTGACACACTGCTCGCTTAATCTGGAAGCCAGCCGCACCAATGTGTCGGAGGAAACACTGTACAGCTGGCGACCGAAGTCAGCGTGCATGCACAAGGAGTTGCTAGAGCGTGATGGGACAAGGACATCCCAGCCGACCAAACCCTCCCCTAACCCGGACGACGCTGGGCCAATTGTGTGCCGCCTCATGGGCCTCCTGGTCGCGGCTGGCTACGACACAGCCCTGGATCGAACCTGGATCTGCAATGCAGTGCCTTAGACCGCTTCGCCACTCGGGAGGCCCAGAATGTATCTTTTAGTCAAGTGATGTAGGCAATTAGTTTCAGTGTTAATGAGCCCAATCAACATGTAATCATTAATGAGTCCATGAAGGCTAATGAGGCCATGTAGCTGATTAGAGCACTGGAGGTTTCGGCCCACTATATCCCAATGACACTATGAGAACAAGACACCGATTTTGTTGCTACTGTAGTGTAGGCTATTTACTGGCTTTCTCTGTGAGCATGACACTAATAGGGACACTTCATTACTTGGGACTGGATTGGAAACAATAGCACGTGATATTAGACAAATGGCAGCACAATTTGATTATCGAAGTCATGTCCACACCCAAGACTCCCAAAGACATCTCAATGTGCTATCTGACAATCTGATGGGAGAGCCAATCGTTGTAATCTTGGAAACATCTACATGCAGTGCCTTGCAAAAGTATTCATCCCCCTTGCCGTTTTTCCTATTTTGTTTTTCATCGGCAGGGACTGGGAAACTGGTCAGAATTGAAGGAATGATGGATGGCGCTAAATACAGAGAAATTCTTGAGGGAAACCTGTTTCAGACTTCCAGAGATTTGAGACTGTGACGGAGGTTCACCTTCCAGCAGGACAATGACCCTAAGCATACTGCTAAAGCAACACTTGAGTGGTTTAAGGGGAAACGTTTAAATGTCTTGGAATGGCCTAGTCAAAGCCTAGACCTTAATCCAATTGAGAATCTGTGGTATGACTTAAAGATTGCTGTACACCAGCGGAACCCATCCAACTTGAAGGAGCTGGAGCAGTTTTGCCTTGAAGAATGGGAATAAATCCCAGTGGCTAGATGTGCCAAGCTTATAGAGACATACCCCAAGAGACTTGCAGCTGTAATTGCTGCAAAAGGCGTCTCTACAAAGTATTGACTTTGGGGGGGTGAATAGTTATGCACGCTCAAGGTTTCTGTTTTTTTTGTCTTATTTCTTGTTTGTTTCACCCCAAAAAGTATTTTGCATCTTCAAAGTGGTAGGCATGTTGTGTAAATCAAATGATACAAACCCCCCAAAAATCCATTTTAATTCCAGGTTGTAAGGCAACAAAACAGGAAAAATGCCCAAGGGGGGGTGAATACTTCCGCAAGCCACTGTAATGAATCCCAGAGCTATGTACTGTATTTAGAGAGTTAGGACCATGAGGTTTCTGCATGATGATGCATTTACATGACACTACAACATTCTATAGCAGCCATGTTAGCTCCCCATTAACATGACATGCAGAATATTTAAGTAAGGGATAATAAACGAGGGGCTATGCGTTCTCTGGAAAATAAAGAACGATGTGGAAGGTGTTTCACGATGAGCTGGCGGAGTGGAACTAACCTTCCACGGAGTTGCATTATTTACCAGAGAACGCATACAGCCCCGGGTTGATTATCCCTTTTATACCATGTCTATAATTTAACACATTTACCGCTAGAAATGTGTTCAACATCCACTGAAGTAGCTAGCAAGTATACTAGATAGCTACAGTAGTTGCCTTGGTAACCAAACAAACAGACTTGCCAGTTTAGCTAACCAAACGATCAGTCCTAGGTTGCTATTATGAAAATCAAATTCAACAATGCCAATAATGTTTTCAATTCGACTTCTGCTTTCAAAAGGTGGTCCTCTGTAGCTCAGCTGGTAGAGCACGGTGCTTGTAATGCCAAGGTAGTGGGTTCGATCCCCGGGACCACCCATACACAAAAAATAAAAATAAAATGTATGCACGCATGACTGTAAGTCGCTTTGGATAAAAGCGTCTGCTAAATGGCATATTATTATAAAAGCAGCTCAAACTTGTAAGAATGAACTATAGTCATTGAATTCTACCGTGCAAATATACAGTGCGTTACAGGGAAATATGCACGCTCTAGAATGCCCTTCAAGCCAATCAAAAACGAGTATTCAACAATGCCATGGTATAATACTATGTAACTGAATGTCTAGAATTAGAACAATATTCAAAATTCTAAAAGTTGGCCTAACTCTCTAAATATATCTCTGAAGAAGCCACGTGCCAGAGACAAAGTATTCTGTTAAATCATGTATGACCGGGTTGCAGTCTATTATTCATGGTTTTGTGTGGGGGGTGTTGTGCTAAACAGGGTGGAAAACTGTGTGATTTGTCTTAAAAAATACAAACACTGAACATAACATATTGTTCCCATTGTCCCTGATATGTTACATAAAGAGCTGGAACACATTGGTCTACACCGCAACTCCCTCAATGTACAGTACATACTGTACTGTAATAACCTCATTGTTGGGGACCAAACATTTTTTACAAAGAGTTTGTGCTTTTGGTGCAATGCTTCATGCACACGGAGGATCCAAATAAAGTGCTGTAATCAAATCTACTAATCTAATACATTTTTACAAGGAGTCCTTTACGACGGGTAATTTTTCCTGCACAAGGAATTTGGAAATTGTATACATAACATCAGTCACGTTGACAAGATGTATTTTTCTCTGAATTATATTTTTCTTGTGCTAGTGCTGTATTACATCTCTCATGATATGAAACATTTTCTAAGGCTACAAAAATAACCCCAACTGTGTACATTTATCGAACATGACATGTTTGACTTTTAGGCCATAAAAGAGTTGAGGGGGAGTTGCACAGTATCCTGCCTTCATCTTCAATAGCTTGTTTTTCTTTTCAGGGGCCAATTCCCAGCAGGTGTCTCTATTTGTTTCCTCTGTACAAAAGAAAATACAGTAAGCCTGCAGTCAAACACTGTAGCATACACACAACATCAAGAGTAGCTACTCAAAACACAGATTATTATCCAAAGTACACTGTTGGGACTTTATTCCTTCACAAACTATGAGCAGCCATTTCAAAACATCCTGAAAAGCCTCGACTTCACTTCAGAAGAACGCCCTGAAAATAACAATGAAGGTTCAAAGCTGGAGATGCCATTGGATAGCCACTGGATGAACTTGTTTAGCAACTCCTGAACAAGCACACTAACTGTGAGGGTTTTCTTGACCCGTGAAGGTGTTAGACTAAAACCAAGAAACGACATAACAGCCTGACTGGTCATTATTACCATGTCATCTCATCATGATAAACACATCTTCGTTTAAGTCAACATGTCAGTCAAGCTACTGAACCTTAATCCACCCCTCACAGGTCCCATGGCTGTGCAAAACAGGCAATATTTTACATCATAACATATGAGAAAATGATCGCACATCTGCTGGGTGAGAGCCTGCTCGTTATGTGGTGGGGGATATTTGCACATTAATGAATCCTAATGAAAACCCAACTCATTAGTGAGGCCTCGGGCAATTCCAGTGCACCACAATGAATAAAATGTTACTTTTTATGAGAGTTTACATTCTGCAAGAATATTCAGGATTTAATTATCTCATTATTGGAATTCGTCTCACAAAACATCCAGGGGATTCTACCGTTGAAGCTGCCGGGGTTTTAGGCAAACAATTACAGCATTATCATCTCAAAAAGAGGTATTTTCTGTAGGGTCTCGGTGGAATGTACAGCTACAGTATGCAAATAGCAGGCATGGGATGGGAGTGATGATAACCTGCCTCAATGCCAGTCATACCTGGCAGGTAACCACTCAAACTCGAACTCATCTGACGCCAGATTGTAGACGGGTAAGAGGCAGCATCATGAGACAACCTGGGCTGCCATAACAGGTTTGGACAAAGTTTGTGAGATGTGAGGAATATGGAGAAAAGTAACATCGCAAGGATGACTGACTTATGTCAAGAAATAAATTACTTCTCAAAAACCAGGCTACAGTACAGACACTCTT